AGTTTGATTAAGTTGTTTCTTTGAGTTTACTTTTGGCATTATTGGCATTATGCAAAGAAAAAAAACATGTAAAAAAAATAAAATATGTAAAAAAAATATGAAATACAAGATAATGTGTAACGCAAATATTTATTCATTTTTTAATTTCATTTAAAAACTAAATTTTATATACATAAATCTAGTAAAATTCATTTTAAGCAAAACTTCGTTATATCAAAAAAAAAGTCATTTTATATATAAATTTTTCTGACTTTAATTCGTTAAACGTAGTATGAATTTTTAATTACTAAATTTGGTATAGTAAGGGTTTTTTTATATTTAAAAATCTGTTTGACACTGAAAAACCGTTGTATTGTAAAATTCGTTATATCAAAATTCATTGTAGAAAGAGTTGACTGTATATACTTTTTTTTGAATATATCATGCTTATAGACTCTTGCCTAAACTTTCTGTAATATAACAAATAATATAGATACTTTGACAAAATTAATAAACATAATAAAAAGTAATTTATCAGTAAATGGGTTATGATCTAAGAAAATCAAGTTCTGAGAAATTTTTGACTAAAATTAATATCTTATTACATTTTAATCTAAATGTAATAAAAATAAAATGCAATTAAAATCTCAATTTTATTAAAAAATTCTCAGAACTTGATTTTCTTAAATCACAACCCATATGGAAAAAATGACTAATAACGATTTTATCATTATATTGTGATTCTTTGAAATTCTAATATCTAATGTAAAGGTAACTCCCTGGTAATTTGAGTTTTAAGATGAGAATATACCATTTGTTATAATAAATATTTTTACCTAAACTTTTAATAGGGTTTTCTAAACTCAATATTTAAGAAAAAAATAATTTTAAAGATTTCAAAAAAAGATTTGTAAACTACATGTTAAAAATAATAGCATTATTATTAATTATTATTGTATTTTTTTAAATTTTAAATACATAATATTTGATTTTAATTTTTTCTTTAACTGATAAACAAGCGCGTCAAATTATTTGCTCGTTTTGTATCTTTTCAACAAACTTTTTGTATCTTGTTGTGAAGATTTCATCATCCCTCATAAAAAAACCAGCAATTTTTATTTATAAGAGTAAGTTAACAAACAGTCTTGGCCTATTGTTAATGTTTGAACCTTTTTACGATTTAGCATATACAACCCTTTTGATAATAAAATATATTCATTTTAAGGTCTTGGCGTTTCTTGCCCCTTGATTTATAGCAAGCTGTTGTTTGATTAGCTTCTCGACGACAAATCAAACATTTGTTTTTATGTTTTGTGAAAAAATGATATAAAAAATTTTTCGCCGAATATTTCCATTATTTCTCCGTGGCTTACGTAAAATTTCCGTGAAAATGAGCCCTTCACGGAAAAAATATGGAAAACAAACTTTTTTCATAGGGTCGAACTAAGTACTAAACAGTACTTTATGATATATATGTGTTGCTTAATTTATATTTGAGAAAACACAATCATAAAATAAATAGAAAAAAAGATTTGCGAATTTTTCGGCACAATGAAAAAAATATATATAAATATAAAGGGTTGAAAAGCAGGCATTTTTTTGATCCTTTAAACTTCAATTGTGGAATATATATTTTTTTATATAAATTAAAATGTTTACATGATTGACATGATTGCTAAAATTAATATTGTTACTTTGTTTTAATAGATTTTAGAGGTAACTTTTATTTTTTTTTTGTCTTATTTAACCAAAAAATATGGACTGCGCAAAGCTGAATTGATATTTATATTTATGTTGAGGCAGACAAAAATTTTTTGTTTATTTGGGCTGAAAAAATAATAAGCCTTAAATCAAAAAAAACAATGGCTGATATGTTCAATGAATTTACGTAGCACATTCTCATCCAATCATTGGTCCACTCAATAAAAGATTTATTGCAGGGCCTATCTTAAATGCCCCTAACATCGACGCAATATTATTATTGGGCAGCTGCGGCAAATTTTGGGGACAAAAATGTTGAAACTAAATAGTAGATGGCATCCATATGTTCTTTAAAGAATAAGCATTTATTTTTTTGTTTTTAAATTAAATACAATAACTATCTGAATGGCCATGACGCGTTAGAGAAAATAGGAAAATAGCAATGGATTAGGACAACCTTACCAAGAACCTTGGAAAATTATATATTTTTTTAGGAATAAGCTCAATTTTAGTAAATTAGATTGTAAAAAAATAATTCTGGTTTGTACTTCTACTTTTATATGGGTATCATTTAACACTTTACGATGCCTTGTCAATATTTTATTCTCTATTTTAATTAACCTGCCGACAAAGCCAAAGAACCATTTAAAGAAATAAAATTTAATAAATTTTATGGTAATCATTTTATATATTTTGTAGATTTCTTTATAACGTACATACTCGGATTTTTTTTTTAAAAAAAAAATTGCCTGTCAAAACTGACGCGTATAGTTTACGAGTAAAATTTTTAAAAGAAAATTATTATTACCTTCGATTATCACGCGCATGTACAGTATTTCAAAGTAGGTTTGAATAAAACATTCCTTGAATTCCGCTTTACTTTCAACATTACCTTTAATCTCCGAACTTAATTTAGGACATGTAATTGGCTAACCAACAAAAAATGAAGTGATCAATTTTAGCCAATCAACGTAACTCTGTGAAAAAAAAGCTCTGAAAAATGTTCATTTACGTCAATATTTAAAGAAATCACGTTCACAAATTCAATTGACATAAATTTTCCAATCCAGAGTATACCACCATCAACATCAAACCTACACGCGGTTTAATTTTAAATAATGTAATTATATAGCACATTCTCATCCAATCATCGGTCTTAAATAGACCACCACCAATAACTAAATAATTTAATAATTTATTTTTATTTAGGGTGGAGCTATATAATAGATAAAGACTCACGTTAAGTAAGCACAATATCATGAGGTAATCGCAAATTATTATGTGATACCGGTTGAAATTAACTTCAAAACAAAAAGAAAATTAAAGTCCAGCAGATGATGGTAAATGTGATGCACATGCATCTTTGATGCTAATGATAAAAGATCACAACAATGATGTTAATGGTGATTAATCGGGTGGTATTAATGATATTGATGGTTTCGTCAGTTATTTTGGGTGATACTAACGATGGTGTTGGTAGTGCCCTTTTTTCACCATATTCCAAACATGCCCATGCCCAACGCTACTTGCTAAATAAAAGAAAAATTACTACCAAGAATCCAATGCTATATTTATAATTTTGTGGTAATTGGCTAAAGCATTATCATCATTATCATGCATACATATAGCGATGTAATATTGAAATAAGAAATTGGTTACTTTTTCATATATTTCAAATTATTATCGTTATTGGGGGACATTTAAATTTTTTTTAGAATCAAGATAAAATTTGAAATATTAGGTAAAAAAAAAAAACCAATTCTTAATGTCGAACATAATAAAAATATTAAAATAAAGTTAAAAAAGTTTCCATTTGAAATATAAGAAATAATAATTTATTCTATTAAATTTGATAGATTTATAAAAGAAAATAATATAAGTATATTAATGAAGGTAGGGAAATAATAATTTACTCTTATAAACTGGATAGATTTATAAAAGAAAATAATATAAGTATTATGAAGATAGGGAAATAATAATTTACTCTATTAAATTCATAAAGGAAGGGAAATAATAATTTACTCGTATAAATTTGATAGATTTATAAAAGAAAATAATATAAGTATATTATGAAGGTAGGGAAATAATAATTTACTCTGATAAATTTATCAAAGGAGGTAGGGAAATAATAATTTACTCTGATAAATCTGAGATTTATAAAAGAAATATATGTGTATACATTAATGAAGGTAGGGAAATAATAATTTACTCGTATAAATCCACCTTCTTTTTCAATAGCCCCACCACAAGCAAAATTTCCAACGTTATACATTGCTACCCTACAACGTGAAACGTCAGGTCAATACTATAATTATTAAATGTGAGAAAACAATTATTTAATTAGTAAATTTATCGAATTTTCGGAATTCCTTAAAGTTTCGCAACGCTATTTACTTTGAATAACCATCCTCAAAGACGACCAATTCGTGTATAGTCGGTTGACAAGTTGTTGTTATATTCTCCACCATAGACACCAGGTCATATACTATAATTATTAAATTATAATGTAAAGTAATGATTAATTAGTAAATTTATCGAAATATCATATTTCCTTAAAATTTTCAACGCTATTTACTTTGTAAATACAGTGGAGGACCATCCCCCGATTCTTGTATGTTCGGTAATCGCATACTTTGGACGACCATAAACAATAACTCATATACTATAATTATTTAAATGTGAAAAAAAATTATTTAATTAGTAAATTTATCGAAAAGTCATAATTCCTTAAAGTTTCGCAACGTTATTTACTTTGACGATATAGTGGAGAACCATCTTCGAACACGACCAATTCTTGTATGGTTGTTAAACGCATATTATTGTGATAAATAAAAACTATAAAAGTTTGGTTTATGTTGAGACGCTAGAGGAGTTTATTTATATATCACACCAGACCTAGTTATGTCGTACCGATCCTGCAATGATGTGCATTTATGCTTCTATGGAAGCTTCCAATGCAAATTGCTTCCAAACCTTGTGCATGTTCAGTTTATCACGTAAGACAGGTATATCCGCTTTCTATCATGTATTCTTATTTTATCATATGTATAAATCAAATCACCTCGTTTACAAAAGAAATTAAAGCAAATATATATATATATTATAAGTCAGGATTTTAGATTATTTTTTTTTTAAAAAAAAACGTGTATTTATTTCCTAATCTATTTTAATCATTAGTTGGCCGACCTGAACGCGACAACGTTGCTACACCAAAAAATGTTAGCCGTAACTTGAAATTACAATTTCATAAAATACGTGTGTATATTTCAATCAATTTTATTCATTTAATCATACATGATTACATCGTTAAAAGCTATGTTTATTTTTATATATTGGAAAAAAAAATCATATGGGAGGTTTGACAGAAAGATGACCCACTGAGATTAGATAATTTCTAACCTCAGCAATCATATTTCTATCAAACCTCCGACATGATTTTTTTAGCACTCGAAGATGATGTGTCTCTTCAAGAGACTATAAATAAAATGGGTTGATTAACATTTTTCTTATAAAAGGAAAAACGAATCTAAATTGATAATACATACCAATTTTTCAAATCTTCCATTCCTTTGGATCTTGATACCTTTTTACTTCAAGACTTAGAATAACTATTTTTATTAAAAAATATAAATATTTTGTTATTATTATTATAATTATTATTATTTCAAATTATTTTTTATTTTTTTTTTTAAAAAATAAAGGGAATTTTATATACTTACACTATCCGTGGTATTTACATATCCACCAGGTTTAAGAATCCCGTATAGCTCTGGAAATACGATATTCTTCCAACGTGAGCTTACAGTAATAGTTAAAGTATTATAAGGAATAGAAGGGGATGATGATTTTATCAAAGAACTTGATTTTTTTAATTTTTTAGACATTTTTTTTATTTTATTTTTTTTCTTAATAAAGATTGAACGAAAGGTTAGAAAATAAATGACTTTTTAAATATTGAATTTTATTATACGTAATCACGTACAAAATTTTTTTCGATAATTGTACGAAAAGGCCTAATTAAGAAATTATGCATGCAGTCAATTCACATGACTATATCACAAAAACATCAATTAGTTCCGGGTTATCCTTAAATCAATATTCTGAGATTATTTTTATGCACTCGTCTCTCTTTACTTGATATATCCTTTCATATTGAAAGAACAAAGACTTTTTTGAAGTATTTGTTCTTCCTTTCTTTTTAGGGATAAAGAATACTATGTATACATTCGATTCACATGAATATAAACAACTCAACGATTATAAATATGCAAGTTTATTACATAATTATTGAAATAATTGGTCTGACTAATTTCTTGTAAGGGGGTGCTCCTCTGTAAATAATAAAACAACTTATACAAATGGGCGTTTCAAAAGCACCAAAAAAATAAAAAATTTACCTATACTTGTTAATAAACTTGTTTTTGACAACAAAAAATTTTCACTCGCGCATTGCTCATTCAATCATTTTATTCAGAAAGTTCTATATAATGAGTTTTAGAATAATCATGTAGATCGATCTTTTTTTCATTTTTATTATTAACGAATAGAGTCCATTTTTCAAGAGTCATATATGCGAGTTTCTTTTTGAAGTTCTCTCATCTACATCTTTATAGTTGGATACAGGTTTGTTAATAATCACTAAAAATAAAAATGCGTGATAGACTGAACGTCGATCATTTCTACTTTGGTCAATACATTTTTGCCAACCTAATAATTGTAATAGCCTCTAAAAATTTAACCATTTGATATATGAATCAAAAATCTCATTTTTTGTTAAAAAGGTTCTTGTGATCCATTTTTAATTGTACAGCTCCCAAATCATTGATATGTTATAAATAAATTTAATTTAATATGATTTATTAATACAAAAAAAAATATACAATAATTATAATTAAAAATATTAATTATATTAATTTTTTTTGTTGATTTTGGCTTAGAAGCCATTGGTTTAGGATCAAAATCATCTTGTTTTTCTGAATTTTGAATATGAATACAAACTTGTTTATATAAATGCTATTGTTTCTAAATATTAATTCTATTTGATATTATTTTATATGAAAAATCTAATGATATAACTTTAGATTTAATAATTATTAAATGTCTTTTTCTATTTGCTATTTCTCTAATTTTTATATTACCAATTTATTTTTATTAAAAAAACAAAATTATGCAGCTTAAGAATACTGGATATAATTTTAAAATAATTATTTAAAATTTTATCTATATATAAAAAAAATTATTCAATTTTTTTTTTATCAAAAATTATTATTTTAAATTATATTTACTAATTGTTAAATTTTTTATAACTTATATTAAATTATCTAAATTATTTACTTCAGTTTTTTATAACTTTAATTTAAATAATCCAAATATACTATCAGAATTAAATTTAATATGTTTTGCAACTAAATATAGTATTGCAACTGATTTGAAAATTATATAACTATGGTGCACAGCATTTATAGTCATCAAAAATATAACATAAATTCAAATTGTATCTAGTCTTTTAATTTAAATAAT